GGAGGAAATGAAGGTGAGGTTCGCGGGGCGGCCGAGAAGACCACTGCGGTCTGGGGGTCTCCAGGAGGGCCACAAGACGAGGTCTCCTTCGCCCTCAGGGTGGTAGCACCAAAAAGGAGTCAAGTTCAGGCTGGTTGGGTTTGGGCGGTTCATCTAAGGGCGGCTCCATCCCAAGGGCGGCTCCATCCCAAGGGCGGATCCATCCCAAGGGCGGATCCGTTGGGTTGCGCTGGTCTAACGGCGGCCGGGTTGGGCTGAGCAGGTCGGCTGGGAGGCGGTTGGGTTGGTCTCCAGGCGGTTGGTTGGGTGGCGTTGGACCAGGTGAAGTCAGACCGGGCCGGCCTAAAGATGGTTGGGTGGGTGTAGAGGCGTTGAGGTTGGGACGGTCTAAAGAAGGTTGGGATGAGAAACACCACCGCTTACTGAGCGGGAGCACCCCGAGATGGCTCCGGGTGACGTGGAGCCAACGGTCCCACCTTCTCCTCGCCCCCAGGCCAAGAACGCGCTGGCCGACGCCCTCCAGTCGGCCCGGCACGACTGCGACCTGCTGCGGGAGCAGTACGAGGAGGAGACGGAGGCCAAGGCCGAGCTCCAGCGGTCGCTCTCCAAGGCCAACTCCGAGGTGGCGCAGTGGAGGACCAAGTACGAGACGGACGCCATCCAGCGCACCGAGGAGCTGGAGGAGGCCAAGTGAGTCGTCTCCCCGTGGAGGGAGACAACGGTGGGGGACAAAAGCGTCCCCAAGGTGGGAAGGCCGTGAGCTCCTCCAAGCTTTCGGGCCGTCCTTGAGGGCAGTTGGAGGAGAAGGTCCAGGTCCTGCCCGAGGGCAACCGAGATGGGGTTTGGGACCGGACAATCTCTTGGACCGTGAGGGTGGACCTCTGAGGAGGCTGGAGGAGACCCCTCCATCACGCGGGCAATCCCGCGGGGGGGGGGGGGGGGGGGGGCAGCTCCTATGGGGCAGGGGAGACAGGACACCCCGCTGCCGTAGAAAGATCCGGAGCAGGTAGAGGGACCCGGAGATGGTATAGGAGATACAGAGCAGAGCCTTGGCCTACCTCTGGGTGGAAGAAGGTTTGGGTTGGCCCGCTTGGTCCATGGGTCACCACAGCCGGGTGTCTCGGT